AAAGTGCCCATAAAGAGACCAGCTGAAACATTCGGTTGGTTGGGGTGTGTCGTAGCCCTGAAGCATTGTAATACTTGTAGATTTGAAGTTTTCGTGACTGCAAGGGTCCATACTATTTGGTTCTTTCGGTAAAGTCACGTAGATGAAAAACAAAAGTAATAATGAAAATAATTAAATGAAAATAACTAAATTAAATCACAGATGTTCCACCTGATGACAAAAGCTTGTGTTGCCTCCGAAACGTCGTGATTCAATTTAGTTATTTTCATTTTTTTTCATTTACGTGACTTTACCGAAAGAACCCAAGAGTATTGTAATACTGTCACACAGACGCCACCAAATGTACACTCTCTGGATTTCCTTGTCGTTTTGAGAGATGAATATTAAAATATGGGCTGGCTTGAATTTTTTCTTACGGCTTTTCACATGGTAGATGAGTCCGATCCTAGACTTCCAAATGCGGTTACAGATCTTGCAAATGTCGATATTGTTGGGGGCGGGGGGGGGGTAAAGCAACTAGCCTTTAAGATCTGCAGTCTTCTCCGTCAGAGGCCTCACACGCCACTCCTCAAAAGTGTACACAGCGTGATGGCACAGGTCTCTCTCCACGTGGGCCTGTCCAGTGCAGCGAGCCCCCAGGTTTGAATGTCTATCATGCATGCTTTGAGTTTATAGCCTTCAACGTGCCCTTATAACGGAGGAATAACGATATCTATTTCGCCGAGATGCAGGTACTGTGTTCGTTTGTATTGAAGAGAACATGGCAACACGTAACAGGTAGGCCACGGGAAGGACCACCATCTCCCATCCGGAGGATGGGTCGGGCCATGGAAACAGGTTTCTGTGCTTCGTTGGCTGTAGAGTACTGCCGTCAGAATACTAACTTCACATTACACGCGGTGTACAAATATCACTCACACGACCGACTGGCCCTACCATATTCAACAAAGGGCCCGATGGTTATATAAGCAACTGCAAAATCGTTGTGGCAGCGTTAACCTAGGTAATTAGTGAGCCGTACCCAACCCCAAGTGCACCAGCCAAAAGGGAATAAACTTTATTTTACTGTGAAAAATAAAGTGCAATAGTTTGAAAAGTAGACGCAGTATACATATATTTGGGAAACACAAGGCCAATTAAATTGCACTACGTACATTTTTGCACGTATAAAAATGCAGATAAAAAAACCTCTCCTAATTGAGCAAAGTAGTATGGCTGAACAGCATGGCTGTTGGCTGACTAATGAGCATATTCCTCACAGATTTCATGTGACAGTATGAAGTGTTGTGTGGTGTTAACATAACGGATGTACAAAATGGTTTAGCACAACAAATTATAAATTTAGATCAACAGTGCACACGCTGGCGTAATATTTATTGAATGTTAGGCACGTGCTGCACTTGGCTGGCACGGTGTATGTACGATATTCGAACATGATTTGCATTCCTTGAATAAGGGACTGCACCTATCACACTAAGTTGGAAAACATACGGCTCGTTTCATGATAGTTCCTATTGACAAGCGACATTGGAAGTGTCCGTTGATGCCACCATAATTAAACACGGCACAGAGATTCATGACTGCACGTTTGATCGGAAGATAAGGGTAATTATACTGCTGCCGCTTCTGCATGAAGCAGGTGCAATTATTTACTGCCCGGTCTCCGGTATTAATGCGTTCTTATCAGGGCGGAAAATGTAATAATCCTTAAAAAGGATTATACAAGTCATCGACACGTGGTGACACCGTTTACGGCTATGAGCACAATTGCTGCACTGGCATTATCCTTCCGTGCACAATGGGACCGTGGCTTGTTTTGTTTATAGCCCCAGATGCCTCGGAATATTTAATTCATGACCTCTTCTTCTAATCAATGCTAACAGCTGTAAATCAATGTTCTTGAGAATCAGTTTGGAAAATGGTGTTGTTGGTGAGTGTAGTGAGAAAGTATTAAAAGTTTTTGAAGAGTTAGAAATTGTAATAAAATCTACGATGTTTAAAATTGCCAATTTACATCTGATTGCATTTATTTTAATGGGTGTTATTTGGTCATGTATTTGCATAATTATTTGTGGGATGCTAATTATTGGATGCTTCAAATGGCCGAAAGCATCAGCCTAAGAGTAAGGATGCAACTGAAAATGTGCACTAATTAAGTCTGAAAATTACATTTGCAGACAGCATATATTCATTAAACTAGACAGCAGTGATGTTCCATTGCTTTGCGTCAAAATAATGAATCCACAACAGAGCCAATGCCAGTATGAGGTTTGGAAGTGCATTGTGTTTATATTTAAAAAACGAACGAACTACCATTCGTAAAATAGCCTGATTTGGAAGAGATTTGTTAAGATGAATAAGTGTTTTTTAAATAAAAAAAATACCAAGTAAAATCTCAAAATTCAATTGTGAACACTAAAAAAAACATGCTCCTGTGTAAATACTTCACTTCCACAGCCTGAAAATCCATTCAACAACCGTCATTCACCACTAAGTGGCAGGTGACGTCACCACGGTCGCTTGTGCCAGACTAGGTACACATTGAGGCCAGGTAAACTGTCGAAGGCTCACCGACAGGTCACGGGACAGACCCAGACTGACTGCAAAATCCATCCACAAACTTCCATCTTATGCAGCGCACACAACACGCAACCAAATCAGCCTCTACTCTACTCTGTCTCGTTAAGACTATTTTCTTTACATATTTAGAAACCATCTCTTCAAGCTGGAATGACACAATGCAATGTGTAACGGTGATATTATCATTTGAATGTCTCCAATATGCCACTTCATGTATCATAAATATGCAGCGTCCTTTATAGACCACGATTTATCTTTTCTCCAAAGCCTTGAAACCCACTCCATGCACTCTCCCGTCTTCATGTTTTAACCCGGATCGCCCCCATTAGACACGAGACGATTCAACCCCTCTATTATTCGATTAATTTTCACCATTCGGTGTCACGTTTCAAGGACTCCTTTACTCTCGTCTGTGTTGTGCACTTGCATGGTATGTTTTCTGCACTGTAGTCCCTTTCATGGACACATAAATTAATCTTATCCTTTATATACATTTTTATATCGGATATTTCCATTGAACTCTGCAGTTTTTACAAGGTTTTAATAGTCACATTTCTGCAAGTACTTCAGTTGGCTATGGTACTAAATAACATGCCCTACATTTGTACGGGGCATATCATGACACTAACAAGGTTATGATGATGCTAGAAATTGCAAATGCTGGTTTCACGTGTACCAAATTAACAAATATGATGAGTAGACGAAAATATAGAAATTTGTGGTGTTACAAGTAGCACAGTTTGGCATAACCGATTTCACCTTGCCTCCTTACAGTAGACACTCTCAAGAGTCAAATTTCGATGTAAAGCTTTCGCGACTGCAGGGATTCATATTCTTGGTTCTTTCGGTAAAGTCACGTAGAAGGGAAATAATAAAGTAATAAAAATAAAACATAAGATTTTTTAAATTATTGCATTATTTCCCTTCTACGTGACTTTGCCGAAAAAACCAAGAACACTCTCCGAGTTGTTTATGATGCAAACAATAGCAAACAACAAAATATAATTAATTTATTTTTAATTATGTATGTAAAGCATGTCTCTAAAATGTTTTATTAACACGTTGCTAAGCATTCGCAAACTCACGCAATCTATAAACGGCAGATCTCCAGTCCGCGCATGCGAAATCCACTGTGGCACTTATATCTCTCCTTCCTCACGAAGTCTGCATATTATATTTGTGTGCAATGGAGTGCTCTACACCAATTTACATTACAGAGCTGCCATTAAACTATAAGTGGCATTGAGCTTCATTGCGGAACAGCAGGCGTGATGACCGGTTCTCATCTTCAACCGCTTAATGGCTGCGTTAGGCACGAAAGCATTACCATTGTACAAGGGATTTAAAAGGCTGATGGCATTTAGCAAATCGTTTGCAACAGTCAGTAAACCCTTGCACAGTACCTGCCATCAACTGCATTAACAAAGTTGTTCATTTTGGATTTACGCTTTGCAGTAATGAAACAGAATTACATTTCAAATAAAGGACTCGCCTGCTCCTTTGGACTTGTTTTGGCCCTGCCATTATCAGAATCCTGCACATGTCAATATTCAACCGTACAAAGGACAGCACTTGGAAGTAATATTTAACTCAATGAACGCAGAATCGTTATGGTGGCAAAGATTTTTTTAGATTGAGTATACGTTTGCATATGAAATACATTGGTGCGTCGCAGGTGTCCTTTAGAAACCAGTGCATTACAGCCTCGGCATCTGTGATTGTGCCACCCATCGCCTCTCAAAAGCAAGGCACAAATGGGCTAACCTAGTTAACGACTGCACTAGCTTGTTACGTGCGCGAGCCATGCACAAAGATACAGAAAATAGGCACCTGTTGGAGGAGTTCTATATTTATATTTATCTACAGAATTTGTGAAATGCAGCCATGTGTGGCGGGCCACGCACCTGTCCCCTGCTGCCCAGCATTCCACTCAAGCAGGAATGGGCAACTTGAGGCCTCCAGGGCTCTGAACATTCCCTCTGCACATCATCCAACCAACAGATGCATCTCCCGCATTCTTAAACTTTCAAACAGATGGCAAAGATTGGTTGACTAGGAGAGGTGGGCTGTGGTGGCCAAGAGGCTCTCATTGATTCATAATCATTTTCAAGGCTGGTTATTTCCATGCTCTGTAAAATTGCTCGATGTCTTAGAAAGGCGCTTATTTTATTTGCCATTTTGCCCGACCATACTTAACCACACTGGTTAGTGTGGGCTGAAGGAGGTGCCCAAGACCATATCAAAATCATTAGTGGTAGCTGTGGCAGCCGCCGTTCTACCCAAACATTTCTTAATTGCCTCAACATTTTCCCCAAAAATTCGTTGACGTTTTAAAACCAGTTAATAGTAGCTCTTGAGAAGACCGAATATAATGGTATTGGTTTGTTACATGTAATCGAAGTTTAAAAAACTCAAATGTACAATAAACACACCCATCAAAGGTGACATGTGTTTTCTTTATTTAGTCAATGCGTGGCAAACATATCGATGGTGCACACGCTACAAGGCTACCACTCGGCGAGATACAACGGAAACGAATGGTGCACGTTACACAACTGCACAATATGGGTAGACAGCCGCTTTCCGAAGGGGGGAGTCAACAACTGCAAATACTCACGTGTGCACGCAAGTTATTTTACATACTTGTTCTAACACTGCCAAATACAGTACTTCAAGCCAGCCATGTGGGCAGATATCTCCAGATTTACCATTCTTGCAAACAACCAGTTTACACATTCAGTACATGTAAACCATTTGTATTACACAAAATGCACCTACAATACAATAATATACAATCATTAAGCGTTCTACAAACAGGGTATGGATATATATACTGTATAGCTCTCTGATTAGTATACTTCAAATACATCAATGACTTTATACAGAAGCTTGTTAGACTAAAGCCCTAACCACCAAGTGCTTAGAGATGTAACTGTCGAAGATGGTCACCCGCCGCATCAGGCGAAAAAGATCAGTTCTGGGATCTGGCCTCCCTGCACGCCAGTGCCATTGGTGCTGTCCGACGAGCACTGGAAAAGGAAAGTGACCTTGCCGCACTGCACCTCCGTCATGCCCTCTTGCCCAAAGTAGCTCAGTTCGTTCCCGTCCAGCACGGCGCTTGCCGTGTAGAACGTGTCCGGCTCCACTTGCACAGGGTGCTCGAACCACACAGGGAATGTGTTACTGGAGCCATCTGACACGAACTTGGTCAGGTTCTGTCCCTAGGATCACGCCCTGCCGCTTCAGCTCAATCTTGACGGCATATTCGGCTGAGCCACAGCTGGAGCCATACAGGCCGAAGCCTGCGATGAACACGCGCTTGTCCACGGCAAACTGAATGGAGTCGCAGCGGCCACGGTAGCGCCACTGGTTGCTGCGGTACGCCGACGACTGGAAGCGATGGCACCGCTGGGGGACCAAGCCCTTCCTGGGTATCGTGGGGAACTCAAGCATGGGCTTGTTGCTGGCTGTGTACCACAGGAATATGCCATTGGTTTCCTCCAGGGTCAGGATGCCTGATTGGGCAGCACCATTAGCAAACTCTTCCACGGGCATGGCTGGGATACGGATGAGGTAGAGAGCTTTGTCCAGCACACGCCGCCTGTTTTCCAGTGTGGACACTATTCCCCCGCGCTGGCACTCTGCCTCGGCCCAGCTGAGGGCAGCCTCGAACACGCTGGACTCCCTCACCTTCAGAGTCTCCCTCTTCAAGATGGTCTCCAGCGTGTTGAAGTCAATGTCACAGAAGCCATCCGACTTGAGCGCAAGCTCGGCCTGAGCGTCTATGACCTCCCAGCAGCGCTGCATCAGGTCCGGCTCCTCAAAGAGTCTGCTTTGTGACAGCAGCACGCAGGCATTCTTGGCGCTTAGACTCGTCTCCAAGAAGTTGACGCACGCGCGCGCCAGGTGGGGGACCATATACTTCTTTGCTGCGTAAAGGGTCGCGAGCACCGTATCCGCTTCCAGTTCAATCTCGTCACAGTAGATGTACCTATGCACAGGCAGCATGTAAAAGTTAAATCACAAAAAAAAGTAAACCGTGTACATAGGACATAGTATGTATTAAACATTCAATAAATGTGAATCTCGCCAGTGTACAAAGTTGCAAAATAATGTTAATTACAAATTGTTTGACGTACCTCATCATTGTCAAGAATGCTGCAGGATCCACATCTGGAATATGTATTTCTTCTGTATTTTCAGCCAGCTCTCCAAAGAACATTGCATGAAAGACTGAGCTGCCAACAGCCAGCACATACTGTTGAAAATACACAGGAAAGCCAGGTTCTTAAGAGAAAGCAATAAGCAGACGCTTTGTGTTTATTTCAGATTTTCTACAGACTTGTTTTGCTCAATGCATCCCTCAGGAGGTGACGCATCAATCCCTGCATGACATTTTTACTAAGAGGCTGGGTAAAAAACTAATTGTCGAAAATTTTATTTTACTTTACGACTGGTATTCATCGACGCAATCTTCTGTCAGCAGTTCCTTTCACGGCGAAGTAAAAGTGCTAGACTGTATAGAAATGTTACACAATGTCTCAGAGCAAACGTTCTTCACTATTGGGCGTTCTTGTCAAATGTTTACCTTGTGTCCAGGTACTCTGCGGGTCTCCTCTTGAGAACCCACCACAAAGTGCACATCAGCCATCAGCTCATTGTTAAACATGACAGCATTTCTGCAATACCAGACACACACACGGCACACAATCAACATTAATAATGTGTACAGGAAGTCCTGCATGTTGCTTTCTGTTTAATTGAAGGCAGTGTTTGAAAAAAATAAACATTTAAATATACATGAAGTAATAAAGCAAGAAAAATAATGCAAATGCATACATGTTTTTAAAAATAGTTTATCAAGTTTTATGGATGTGGGATACAGTAAAATAATAACGTAACATTTGCTATTAATGGACGTAATAGTCTCCAACAATTATACTAATCTTAAAACTACAGTACTGTACTAAATACATTCAGCTCGTCAATCACACAGATAAATTAAAACATATTTTCAGAATATCAACACTGGTGCTTCCAGTTTTGACCACACACGCTGTTCCCATAGCCACAACCAGCATCCCATCCACCCCCATGATTGTCAAAGCAACCTCGGTCACAAACTGGCAGGACATCACAATAGCATGACATCAAAAGACCAGGACATCAAAACATGAGAATATCATGCCAGCAGTTCACCAGGCCACCAGTGGCTGATTGCACAGAACGCCCAAGTGACCCTTAGCCTACACCGATCTAAATAGGAAACTATTGGAAAATATCAATTTAAGCAATCCGTCAAAGAATATCACATCAGCACACATTAAAACCATGGGACACCAAAACGCAAGGGCCAACAGGGCATCAGGACACCAGATCATCAGGACATCGGGCCACCAGGACATGAGGACGCCAAGTAATAAACCCATTAACCAATGCAGAATCCAGGTGCAGCATTGGCACAGAGGTCAGTCACTGCTGTCCCCACACGTCTGGCCGAGACGACGCCCGCGTCTAGCCGTACCGTTCCCTGATGGTGGCGTAGAGGCCCTGCCAGTTGGAGCTCTGCACGTGGTTGTTGTTTACGTTGAGGTTGCTCTGCTGCTGCTGCTGCTGCCCCAAGCCCTGCACGCCCATGTCCTTGGTGGATGAGCCGTACAGCTCTGCTGCCATCCTCTTCTTCAGGCTCAGGGACACGAACTCATAGCACACGGGTGGCAGCTTCTTGGCCTTGCCGGTGACCTTTTTGGATTTCTTGAGCGCCTCTGGAAGCAAGAGGAAGAACGTGAGGCACTTCATGCTCTCCCCATTCATTCGGCCGGGCATGAGGGCCCCACCGGCTCCTCCCCGCGGCGCGACGCTCGGGCACGTGGGCTGCTGCTGCTGATGTTGCAGCGTCGGCGTCGGACGGGCGACTGCGCTTAACTCAATCATTCGCTCGCGCACTCGTTAGCTGACAGGGGCGACGAGGCGGCTGCGCTCTCCATCACCCCCCCTCCCGCCTGCCTGCCCTGCTCTACCTGCGTGTGCGTGCGGCTCTCTCGCTCACTGCTCTCTCTCCCCGCTCGGGTCGGCACCGCGGGCTCGAACGGAGCCTCTCCACAGGGAGGCGGGCCCACGGCGAGAGGCCCCGCCCACAATAAGACCTAGCCTTGTCCACAATTGGATCAACTCCGCCCACAACTGACCGAGTCACCGCCCACAATCGCGTAAGCCCCGCCCATAACGGGACAAGCTCCGCCCACAAAAGGCTCAAGTCCCGCCCATCGCGGGATAATCCCTGCCTACTGTGCGGCAAAGCCCCGCCCCCCCCCCCCCACTTTAAAATTCTATATAATCATTAGCGTAGTTGTGAATATAAAAAAAAATATTGTAGATAATAGCTCTTTCTCAGAAGCGATCTGGCCACAAATGTTAGTTCAACGAAGTGGCTTATCATGTGGAAATATATAGCAGCCAAATACTCTAAACGCACGTTTCTAAATGTGGAGGGAAACACCGGAGGAAAATTCACACAACCACGGGGAGAACATGCAAAGTTCAAATATACAGCAGGCGTCAGGGTCAGGATCGAACCCAAGACTTCCTGCGTACCAGGCGAGGTAGTTAACATCTCCTAGCCACCGTGACGACCTGTCCTCCATGTCTCTCTCTCTCTCTACAATAAAGTTGTTGTTTTGTTTTTTAACAAAAATGTTATTCACACAACACATCAGCCCCAACGTCCTTCCGGGAATGCGTAATTTCAGCATCAGTGATTCAATGCGAGCAACGTCTGGACCGGTTTCGACCATCAGTGTCTTCATCAGCAGTCAGGCTCACTTGAATCAATGCCAGATGGCAAGGTTCCCTCTCTCGGTTCGATTCCAGCGGCTCTCCCCCTTATTAATACTGCGCGTGGATTGTATTTAAATATACATTGCACAGTTAGGGCCCTATGTTGCCGGCTTCATGGTCTAAATTTGGCAAAAATCATACCAAAAAAACCATCCTCAAATGAATAAATTTGGATTGCACACAGGCAGGAACCATCGCCGCCCTGCTGCAAAAACAACAACTTGGCAGGACCCTCCTGAAAAAAAAGTCTTGAGACTCGGTGATGCTTTGCTGGAATAAAAAAGCGGAAAAATACTGTGATAATAAACGCATAGAAGGTAATCTTGAATTGAAATCGCGAGTAATCAGCTGGGTGGAGGAGGGTGGAGTTCGACTCCATGGGGAGCCCCCCCCCTCCCCAAGGCCCCCCCCCCCTCTCCAAGGCCCCCCCCCTCCCCAAGGCCCCCCCACTAGTGCACTCAACAGTGGTGCAAACACTCAACACCTTTGTCAACAGCAGTGCCTTAAATTGCTTAACATAAATAAGTAGTTTAACACGTAGGCCTTCACGACTAAAGTCATCCATAATATAGGGGTTTTTTGGGGTTAGATCGCATAAATATACAAATGTGTCGTTAAACTCACCACCACCCGACACAGCCAACTAGTAAGGGTTGTCACGTAAACAGAACGTGCCAATTCGTCACTAGTACAGCACTAACCGGTGTGTTGGAGAGCAAAGCCACCAACATTTACAATCTGAGTACGACGTTTCGCCAGTAATTACAACTAGCAAATCTGTCTGTCCGCCTGATGATGCTAGCTGTTTTAAATTCATATATTCATTTTATCTCTCTGGCCACACACTCCGCGGGTGCTATGAAGATGGGCAAAATCGTAATTGATTGATGTATTTTTGGCGACTCTGCCGCCTATTATAAATATTTAGTCTATACATATTTGGTCTCTCCATTTAAGGCTATTGTTACCGGCACAATGAGTTCAATTGTTGTTGTTAATCCAAGGACACTGGGACTCGAAACAAATCACCCCTCACGTGACCCCCCCCCCAAGCAACCCCCCCCCCCACGCAAAACCCCGCCCCGCACAACCCCCCCAAAACCCCCCCCCCACCCCCACAAAACCCCCCCACCCCCACAAAACCTTGCACTCCACCCCCACACAAAACCACGCCCCCCCCCCCACCCAAAACAGCCCCCCCCCCCCCGCGGTACCGATGCCATGCGGCAGGAGGATCCACAATTCCAGACGCACCAACAAATTAATTGATGAATGTCTTTTTGGCGACTCCGTCCCACCGCGCACATGAACGCCGCGACCCGCCTTGGCGCAGATCATTCTGTTGTCATGTCATGTCCAAGCGCAGCAGCGAGGACGAATGCGCAGAAAAAACAAAACTTTGAAACTTTGATGAGCGCATCATGGTAGAGCTCGTCGAGAGGAATAGATGACCGTATCGTTCGCCTTCAACAGACATAAAACGACGTCGCAACGCAGTTTATGCGAGAGCTGGGGGCTTATGGGATCCTGGGGTCCCGCCATGAGGTTCAATTCTAGTTTATTCTAAATGCCAACTTCGAAATCTGCTCGCCAAGACCAGAGAGAGAGAGAGAGCTTTAGAAGTGGAGAGTTCGTGTGGTGTTGCTATTCCTCCTTCCATCGATGCAGACTACTGTGGTTTAACGTAGTCCGTAGTTTGGCTTGCACGGCCACAATCGAACTTGTCGATTGTCTTCAATTGTATATTCATGGAGGAGGTGTTGCGCATCGGCCTGTTGATGTTCTCATGCGGTCGATGGTTCCACCGGTGTCTTCCAGGAGGAGGAATGTCAAAGCCAATGGGGGAGTGGCGATGTTGGGTCTTGAATGAGGTGTTCAGTCTGAACGTCCACGGGTTTTCATCCATTCTGTTCGCCAGCAAATAATAACACCAGCACGTCTCGTGACAGCCTCAACATGCGTGTTGTAGTTTCGAGTGTACACAGGGTTTTTTTTTCTTCACATGGGGCCACTACAAATACTATAGTATAGTACTGCATTGACCAAAGATACATAAAGACACTGACAGCTCAGCGTTCTGGTTACTATATTTTACTCTAATTCAACGGCACTGCGGTGGCTTACTTAAAGGGCTAAATTGGTACACCACAGGTCTTGATTTTAAATGGTTGTTTGGTCCTTCCCCGTAATGTAGCTTCAAACCCATGTCGGGCTTTGCGCGACACACACCTTACGTGAATATCTACAAGGCAAGGGATATGTATCAAATTAATTGCATGTTTAAAAGTCCCACAAGTAATGCCGATACCAGCACAGAGTCTGAGAACCAGCATAGAGACCCTTGCAAATGACCCCTCTTGCAAGGTGAAGAGGGGAATTCGCAGACCCTCGGTGTTCGTATAGACGTGCCTAATGCGTCCCATGCACTTATTTGCATGAATTAAACGTGGATTTACATAATACGCCTATAGTATTAGGTCGTTGTGATGTGTTTTTTTCTTTTATTTTCAAAACACAGTACTGTATTCAATCACCCCTATGCTGCTTCAGTGAACCATACTCTAAAAGTTGTTAAACGAAAATCCTGTTAATTGGTGCGGTCCTTTGTGTTTCTCATCTGCCACTGGGCCCCCCAAGGGAAACAAGATAATTATGGGGAGGATGATGTCACCAATTTGGACATTCAGTTACCATACATATCATCATTACTCGATACGCTCTCCAAGTCCATGTGTTTCTCGAAGGATGGATTGTGTTCCATCTCATGTTGTTTCCCCTAGCTATATTCCAGCAATGTATAATATGAAATGAAGCGACCACTGTAGGTATTGTCTGAGCTCTAAATTCTTATGGTTATATTATTTGATCAGGACATCGATGCCAAAACCTTGGAACACGTGCAAGAATGCATGTTTGCATTTAAGTAGTATGCAGAAATATAAATCTGCAACAAGTATAGAAACTAGGAAACACAAGCGAAATGAACCAGCAGAAGCAAATGCCTCTATTTGCTGCATTGCGTCAACAGACTACACAGTTGATTATTTGTTGGTTGCAAGCATCTGAGCTCAGCAAAAGCTGTGATGCTTTGTGCATTCGACCATCACAGCATGATCACAAGATTTCTTCGCAGGCTGTAATCCCATCTGTTCATTCCACGTGCCGGAGAAGGCCAATATGAGAAGGTGAATTAACGTCATGCCCCATCAATCTCTATTCTGCCTCTGATCCAAATTTCACATATTGCAACAAACAAGCACATCGACCAAGGCAGGGTAAACACAGACTCGAGCGTGCAATACAATACGTTTACGCCGGAATACGAGAAGGGCAAGCCGCATGAGCAAGAGGTGATTGAAGATGTCCAGAAACGCAAGCCCTAAAGCACTCTAAAGCTAGTCCCAATGCCTGGTCAGTGGCTGCTTTATCTATTGACTCGTGCCAATCAGCACATATGGACATTTCTGAAGATAAACACTGATGTATCCAGTGGGTATATTTAAGCAATATGCAGTAAGTAGTCAATTACATGAAGTATGTTAGCTCATGATTAGCATTGCTTAATACGCTTCTTTAAGCTATTTATTTCACGATAAGTGGAAATACATGTTTAGTCATGCATTTTACACACTTCACGCAGAAATGTTAAATGTGTGTATGTGTATGCATATGCAGCAGTGCTGTAATTTCCTTCAGCAAATGCATTACATGTTCACTTATGAATTGCACGTACTGTTGAGAACCATTGCTGATAATATTAATTTGCCCCGTTAAGTGCATTGGAAGATAAGAATGCACGTTATGTCTACATTTTTTGTAGCGATCTATTTTTTTCAAATATAATTTAAGCACCTAACAAAAGCAATTATAAAACCTACGTGGCATTAAAAAAAAACTACTCACATGCCAATAGAAAAGGCCTGAGGTGTGCGTGAGATCCAGTGTCTCTTCCACACAGCAGTAGTAGCAAGCAAGTGAGAGCAGGTGCAACACAGGACCACCACCTAGAGCATGGACATTTCTATTTTACTCAATACATACGGCGAGAGCAGTGGCGCGCAGTGGTCAGCGCACTACGCGAAGAACCCATTAAAAACCCGAGTTTAATTCCCGACGAGAGCTACCTATAATCAGTGGCGAGTGATATCTGAAGTGGTCCTGGCACACTCAAAATTCACCAACCCACACAAACCAGCGTGGTCGTCTTCTGCTTCTTTCGTATGGCATTGTGAAAAGAAACAGTTTTTATTTTTTCTTAATGATCGTCATAAATGAATGCACAGGTTCCTCATCCAGTCCAATGATGTGGTAGATGCAGTGTGGATTTCAGCGATATTGCCAGGATGTGCATGGATGGAGCATTCA